CTCAACCCATAATGATTTCTTTATTCGGCAGACTTTTCGATGTTCTTTCTTTTTAATGTCATATTGTTCCATACATGCTCTCGTTCTTATAATTAGTTTTACATTCTTCTTATTGACTTTATTACTAGTTTTATATTTTTCCATTTTCTTTCTGTATTATCTTCTATAGACTTCCCTACTGGTTTCTGATTCAGTGCATTCTGATATTCTTTGATATTTATTGGGTGCTGTATATACTGTTTATTCGATCTGCATACATTATGTTTAGGAAATGTTAGTTTCTCCAGTTTCTATTTCACAACCGTTTTAAGAAGGAAGTAATCTGTGTCACAATTTGGTCCTCTGATTGAGCGGACATCTTGTATCAGTCTCAAACGTCTCCAATTGACTACTATGTGATGAATTTGGTTAAATGTAGCTCGATCAGGGGACATTCATGAGTCTTTATGTACTCATTTATGATAGAATTATGTACTTGTCAGAATTAAATTATTAGTTATTGGAAAATTAGCCAAATAATGACCATTATTATTAGAGTTTTGATGTGTGGTGAATTTTCCTACTTCTTCCTTATATCTTTCCTCAAGGCGGAGTTGCGCATTAAAATCTCCAAGGGCAATATATCACGTTTTGGAGTTATGCTGATCATATATTGCAACTCTGTGTAAAATGTTTCTTTGACTTCTTCTTCCTTGTCTTCCGTAGGTGCTTAAACATTTATGAGGCTCAAGTTATAAAATTTCCCTTTAATTAGCAGTTTGCATAGATTTTTAGTATAAGATTCAAAATGTAGTATTGATTTCTAAATTGCTTTCATTACCATAAATCCACTTTATCTTTGGACAGTCCTTACATTACTGCAGCTAAAGTAAAGATAATATTTTATTTATTAATTTTCCGCATTCTTTGCCATCTAATTTATTTTAGTGCTGTAACTATCTTCGTTTGCATGATCGCACCAGATATCTCCTGCATTCGTTCTCGCTGCTGCATTGTGATGACATCCAACGTTGAACAATTCTTTCGTCTTTTTAACATGCGAAAGCGATAGTGAAAGCGAATATGATAAAGCGAAATGCCGTTTATTTATACAATAATGAAATGCTATGATGTAGAGGACTCGAAAAAGTTGAAACAAGTGCAGCATTCTTCGTATATTATACGTCTAGATTGCATTTTAAAATTGTAGTTCCCCCTTTCCAATGAAAAAAGAGGACATTTCGAACTTTTTGTAAAATGCACCCGGACAGTTTTTCTTACTCCAAAAAGTAGACGTGGCCGGGAAAAAAGGAAGTATGGTAACCCTAGGTTTTCCAGAAATAGGGTGATGGCCTAGATATAACCCCTGTCATCTTGGATGACCTGTTTTGTTTTCAGGGTATTTAATTTTGTAAGCCTATGTGTTTTGACCTACTCTACCAGGGACCTCGTCAACCTTTGCCCCCTGTCTTGTAACAATACTACACAATGAAACATGTTATCGATTTATAACTATCATTCATGAGAATATTCTCAATACTTTTACATGAACATCTAAATGCGATGCGAAACCTCCAAATCATTTTGTGAGATGGTCTGTTAATTTTTCCGTAATATTCCTCGTTCAAGATATCTTTCCAAGACGTATCTTGCGTGATACGGCTAGCATATCAAGAGATGCGTTGATCAACAGCTAATTATAGTATCTTGTGAAATTCTGTGTATTTTTTTTATCAGTTCCACCAAATCACTTCTCCTCGTAATACACAAGGAAATACGTCCTCTTCACTTACGTGGCTACCAACCATTTTTGCTCAATAGCGTCTCCTTTACTCGATTCCGAGAATGCTCACGGTTGAGCTAAACATTTTCCGTGGTAATTAAACTAGCCGTGATAAGATATTAATAGTTTGCGGCATATCTTTATTGCCATGATTGATGGCCTGCGTCAGGTATATACTTCAGAGGTATACGTAACCTAAGAATTGTTTGTGGCCCTTCCCGGAATAGAATTTGTAAGCAGCTGCTCTCATCACTTCATGCGAATGCTGTTTTTCGGGACCAAAGACCCACAAAACATGGATTCTGGATACCCTATGTGATGAAGTTATTGTTTGTTTTTTTTCCCTCTCAAATTCAGCAACTAGATTTATCCTCGTTTTTGCTTCCACGGACCTGCAGTAAGTTTTTCTCCCAAACATTTGCCGTTTATTCGCGCAGCATTTTACAATCTGGTTTTTATATATTTATCTTCTGCCACTGCTTTTGAGAAACGCTTATTATTTGAGATAGCATCTTTGAATTCAGTGCAACTATAGTTTATATTGAATAAAACACTCAGTTCCATTTTTAGTGTTTAAGGAGAGATGATTTCTTCCGTCTGTTCATACATTTACCATGACGCTAAAGATTTGTTCCACGAAAGCGTTGGGTACAGGAATATTAAAAACAAACTGCACAATTTTTAACAGATTTGGTGCTAATTTTGTTTAATTGCACTATATATTAATAGATCTGCCTTCACGCGAAGAAAAAAACACACTGAAGTCCAGTCAGTTCTCCATAGGAATATTCAGGGTAAGTCTGCCGTTTTCCATGAAGATATTGACTATAATTTGATCAGTTGATTCAGCGTGGGTGATCTCCCCCATTCGAGATCGAAACAACTGAATGTTTTATAATAATGATTTTTAAATGGATACCACTTCTCTACATATAAGCTAATGGATACCACTTCTCTAGCATTTATAGAATGTTTTCAAATTTCTTTAAAACTTCTTTAAAATTTCTTTAAATTTCTTTAAAATCTTTTGCCTGGTTTGCCAAGATTTTTGACCGAACAGTCATGAAGAAAACACGACTGACCAGTCAAAAACTGAACATCTGGCAACTAATGTGTCATTTGGGTGCAGGTCTTCAATATTATTGTTGGGATATATTCGGATGGTAATCCGAAAGTGCCACACACATTTCGGAAATTTTAAGCCTTTATTGTTACCGTTTCTGTACTATTAGATAAATAGATAGATTTATTAAAGTTTGCTTTGAGCTAATGCTCGGTGGCAAACATGATAACAATTAAAATTA